CAGCACGCTGCCGCCCCTCGACACAGGGGACGCAGGTAGGGCCAGGCCCGGGAGGAAGGGGAGGGAGGGACCGGGGAAGACCAGAGACAAGGACACGGGAGGCCATGCTTCGGAGACGAAGCAGGGAGGGGTGACCAAGGCGGTGGTGCCAGAGGAGAGTCTCGTGAGACAGGAGGCGACACGAGCAGGGGGCAGACTCAAGACCAGACCTGGACGCCGCAGCAAACACCTCACCCGATGCAGCTATCTGACCAGACGCAGTGACTAGAGGAGACACAGTGGTAAGTGTGTACAGGCTCGACCCCGGCCGACGAGTAAACGTGGCCAGGTGTCGGCCTGTCCGAGCGTCCGTGCAGTGGGTCACCCGCTGACTCGCAGGAGTGAACTGGTGAACCCCCGCATCCTGCAGGTCAGCACCACTCACCAAGTTCGTAGAGAACAAGGGGAGGTAAAGACCAGACAGGGTGCCAGAGGGGGCCGCCGGACACGGGAGGACAGTTGAGAAGTGAGCAAGGACAGGGCCCCCAGAGGGGTCTGCCAGAGAGACTGCAACTGGCCGACCAAGCGGCGTGAGTGTGGTGCGGTCTCGAAAGAAGGAGCGGGAAGCCCCCGAGTCAAGGGTGAAGGTGTGAGAGGCCGGAGCCGACGCGGTACCTGAGAGAGTAGACTCACCCGCACCTGAGGAAGCAGACTCACTAGCACCTAGAGCAGCAGCCGCACCTGTACTTGGAGCAGGAGACACACTAGCACCCAGAGCAGCAGCCTCATGAGCAGCTAGAGCTGCAGGCTCTATATCTGGGTCAGGCGGTACGCACAGGTGACCGGCACGGTCAGCACTAGTAGGCAATGCATACATGTCAGTGAGAATAGCATCATAGTCAAGAGCAAATATATCTACCGTCTGCCTAAGCAACTCCACCCAGTCGGGGAGCTCAGCCTCGTCGCCAAACTCGGTACGCCAGGCGTCGCTCAAACGGGCGAAGCAGCGGGACTGTGTGTGACTAGGCGTCCCACAAGGCTAACCAGTCCGAGCACCAGTGCGAATCACGTAAGAGCAGCGAACAGAACTGAGAGACCCTCTACTCTGAGCGTACCACTCACGAAGCTGGTGGGGCGTGAGAGACGCTCGTGGGCATCGCTAGAGCTGCATCTGGCCGCCGCCAGTAGTAGTAGTAGTAGTAGCGCCGCCACCCCTACAACCCCAACCAGCGTACCACTCACGCAGCTGCTGGGGCGTGAGGGACTCACGCGGACGTCGCTGGGGCTGCATCTGGCTCCGCCAGTAGAAGCAGGAGCAGGAGTAGCAGCAGTAAGGCAGGCAGCCAAGCAAGCGGCAGGCAGCGCGCTAGTAAGGCAGGGGCTCACCAGTGGTGGGAAGAGCAGGTTCGACGACTCGGCGACTCGGCGGTGCGGGTGGCTCGGGCGGCTCGGTGGCACGGCGGCACTGCAGTAACTGCGGCTCGGCGGCTCGGGAGACTTGGGCGGCTCGGCGGCTCGGGCGACTCGGGCGGCTCGGCGGCTCGGCGGCTCGGGCGGCTCAGCGGTACGGCGGCTCGGCAGCAACTGCAGCTCGGCGGCTCGGCGACCCGGCGGCTCGGGCGGCTGAGGTGGCGCTGCGGGTGGCTCGGCACTAGCTCGGCGGCGCCGGCGGCTCGGTGGTGACGGCGGGGCCGCTTGGGGACGGCGGCGGGGCCGGGTGGAGCGACGACGGGGCCAGCAGAGGCGGCGCCGGGGCCGCAGGGTAGGCGACCGGGCCAGCAGAGGGGGCGCCGGGGCCGGGAAGGGCGGCGCCGGGGCCGGGGAGGTATGCGACGGGGCCGGGAAGGGCGGCGTCGGGGCCGGGAAGGGCGGCGTCGGGGCCAGCAGAGGTGGCGCCGGGGCCGGGAAGGGCAGCGCCGGGGCCGCAGGGGTAGGCGACGGGGCCAGTAGAGGCGGGGCCGGGTCGGGAAGAGCGGCGTCGGGGTCGCCGGGGTAGGCGACGGGGCCAGCCGAGGTGGCGCCGGGGCCGGGAAGGGCCGAGCCGGGGCTGCAGGGGCAGGCGACGGGGCCAGCAGGGCGGCGGATCGGGGCCGCGAGGGCGGCGCGACGCGGCCGCTAGGGCAGCGCGACGGGGTAGCGGGGCCGCGCGCCTCGGGGCGCGCGCCAGAAAGAAAATCGCCGCGCGCCAACGAAAATAGGTCGCACGCCACGGGGCGTGCAACAGATTGAGTAGCAGCGGAAGCAGTAGTAGGGCCCTAGGAACAGTTCCCACGAGGGAAACTGCTCGATACCATGAGAAAACTGAAACGAGAATGAATGAACTATGAACGAACTGAGTACAAGTACTAACCCTAATTGGGTTGTACCACTTATGGGCTACCCCACTATAGCCTACACAATAAGCACAAGCTATATGTTCTAACAGTTCAGCTTCCATGGCCGCGAGGTGCACCTTGGACTGGTCACGGTTGCGGCACGACGACTTGTGAAAATCCCTTGCACCGACTCCAGCACCACCAAAGGGAGACTTGGTGTTAGGAGCAAACTTACAGCAGACGGAACACTTCATACCATACTGGCGCTCATGTTTGTTGTACTTCAAGCTCAGCCACGAGTACGTCTGCTTCCACGACGTGCTGAAGCGACGTGCAAGACTCCTCTCGGCCTCAGGGATCTCGTGGTCCGGGGGTACTTCTGCATCCTCTGCGATCGCGTTGTCTTGCGCCTCCAACTCCTCAGCAGTGGGTGGTGGCGGTACGCATCGTGTGCGCTTTCGCGTGTCTGGTGGCGGACTAGCGAAGCTTAGGTGAACCTGACGATAACGGGCTGCAGACCTCGGAGTAGACTGTGACGATGAGGCTTGCTGGGCGAGGCACGGGTCCAAGACTGAGATTGCTACGTCTAGCATGTCTTCAGCATCTGTGGCTACGTAGGGCTCGGTCTCGGTTCTAGTACGAGAATAAGAGAAGTTCGTCGTGGGCAAAACTGGAGGAGGGGTTTCACCCTCGCTATGGTCCATGGTGGGAGATTGTGGCTGACGAAGGGAACGGGTTAGCTAGCCAATATATAAACCTCGCGTGTGTGAACGAGGCGACGCGAGCTTTACTCGGCAGAGTTGGTGGGTGGAGGAGAAGTGCCATAGCACGGCACGAACGAAGGTGGAGAGCAGAGAGCTTGGGTGGGCGGTACTGTGGAGGTGGTCAGACGGTGGAGAAGAGAAAACATGGCACGAATAAAAGAGGAGAGGAGTGGGAGGTTGGGTGGGTGGGTGGGTGGTGGTGTATGGAATGCATGGTGGTGGAGAGGAATGGTGGCACGCACGAACGAAGGTGGTGAGAGAGCTCCTACGCTGGAGTGCTTCACTTCCTTTGAGGTGCTTTGGAGTTCTTTGTGGCTGATAAACTTAGCCAGATTCACCCAACCTAATCCTATGTGTCACAGCTGTAAACTGCGGCCAGCTCGTATTGGACGCTAAGGGAATGTTCGGGTGCTCCAAGGCTGACTGAGACACACTACACACACACGAGATTGGCTAGAAAACGCTAAGGGAAAAATCCCCTTGGCGCGCTCTAGTGCAGGCTAAGGAGAAAGGGGGGGGGGGGGGGGGGGTGGTCTTGGGCACCCTGGGTGGGGGGGGTCCTACGAGCGGAAACCAAAACTTAGATAGGGGGGAAGGCCTGGTTTCGTCCCTTAACACATCCGGGGAAGGGTCGAACGAAGCACTTAGTGGCACGGGTGGGGTATGAATTCAGAACTTGCCGCATTGGAGCTGGAGCGAAACTAGCCCTTAATGTTCAGGGCATTAAGGGCATATGCCCTTGAATCGACAGGCCTGGTCAGTAGCCACCTGGTTCAGCTGGCAATCATATGGCCATTTGCAACGCAACCTTCCAACCAATCCAACAAAGCACACCTGACGAAACACTGTAGCGTCAACTGACCAGATGCGTGTTCGGTGGTCTAGGCGAAAGCCGCCGACATCGGGGGCGTGTCTGGCGAAATTCACTCAGAGTTTCCATTCCACGCACCAGGGTTTTATATGGTGCGGGGCGTTACAAAGCGGTGAAATTTGAACACCCATTTTACCGTTTAGAATACTACTGAACCGAGCTTCAGAGGAATGTGGACCTCATCAATCTCCCCATCGACGGTCTTTCACAACCTGAGGACGATGAGGGGATTTGGTTCGGTCTGCTACGTTCGTGAGCGGTTTTGTACAATACTGGAAACCAGCTGAACTGCATTCGACAATCCCCATGACCCTCGTCGTGACTCTTCGTGAGTTGAGTTGTGTCGTGTGTGACCTCGTCTTGCTTGCCTTTCGCACAAACAATCCATCAAATTTTATTTCAACAAAGCTTGTAGTGGAGTTGATTCATCTCTCTTCCACTTCTGAGTCTGGTCTGGTCTTGTGCTGCTGCTTGCTGGATTCAAGTGACGGAGATTTGTTGTAGAATCCATATCCCGAGCGTTCCTGCTGACGAGGATAGTAAGCCTGGCTTACTGATACGGGACGACGAAAGTATAAGGCTCCACTCGCAAAATCCGCTATAGCCGATTCTCCCTTTCCCGCGCGCTGACCGCTTTATGGCGGAACTTCCGATTTCTGCCACGGTTCCTCGCGTCACGACGCTCTTCTGTTAATTGATCCGGTTTATTTGCGTTCAGAGCACCCTCACGTGTTCTAGAAACCATTCAAGATGTTAGTCATGGCTGGAACAGCGTCGGAACCACGCATTTTCGTTCCATGGCCGTCTCCTTTCCCCGTGAACCGAACTCGTTCCCCCTCGTACCGGACTCGTCTCACCTCGTACCGATCTCGTTCCATCTCCAACCGCATCCGATCCATCGTCACCCGGTCCCAGATCATCGCGGTCATCGCATTGTCGCTGCTCGCTTTCGCAACTTCGACTGTGCGATCCTCCTCGAAATCCCCTCGTAGCGCCGTTCCTTCAACCACTTCTCACAGTACCGTTTCGTCTTCGACGTCTCAGAATGTACCCCCTTCGACGAAGTTTCCGATGACGTCGCATAACGCTGAGCCGTCGCGGCAATCGTTTCCGGTTTCCATCTCTAGCGCCCTTCCGTCCATCGATCCTCGTCCGTCCATCGATTCGCGGCCGATCGGTTCCCTGATTCCAGACGAGGAAGATGACGTGGCGCCGTGGAAGTTAGACGATGACGAATCACACGATTTAGAGCCACAAGTTTCCGACACAGGAGGGGGACGGATCGCCGCACGAACGGCGCAGATCACCGAAGGAGCGCGGCGGATCGCCGCAGGCAGCGGGGGAGGCGACGAGCAGAGCGGCGAAGTCCTCCGCAAAAAGCTTATTTCGGTTGACGCGCGCGAGGGTGCCTTTCCGCCGCGCAGGAGGCTGGGTGCGGGCGATCTGCGCGCGGGGGCCTTTTCGCGGCGGAAGCGGTGGAAGGAGCGGCTGGTGCGCAAGCTGGGTCCGGGGAAGAACAATCTCCGCGAGTACCTCCGCGCGGAGGGCTCCCTGCGGTCCGAGAATCTAACTACACGATACCTAATGGAGTCTCTACACCACGTGTTCTTAGACTATCACAACCAGTCCCACCAGCAGACGGAGGACATGCATATCAGGTGCAAAGGCGGCGAGTGCCCGGATTTTCAGCAGTGCTCGGGGAATTTCACCGCTGTAGACGCGTGCCACTGCCCGGATATGGAAGATTTGAGTCGGCGGGCAGCTTTACCGCCGCTGAACTGCCCGCGGAAAAAGAAAGTTATGGTGGATTCGCCGCTGAATATCAAGCCAGTGAAGATACTGTTTGATCCGAAGTGCTCTCACGCGGAGGATGACATTCCGCACTTTGCGTGGGTGAGCCAGATGTTCAACCTGCGCCACGTGTACTTCAACTCGCGCGGACAGGCGTTTAATGACTCGTTCCTCTACGACCGAAATGGCTGCGGCAGCGAACACAAGGTGAGAGGAGAGGAGCACAAGGCAAGTCCTATTCCCTCTTGCGGCACTTGGCATGGGTGAGCCAGATGTTCAACCTGTGCCACGTGTACTTCAATTCGCGCGGACAGGCGTTCAATGATTCGTTCCTCTATGATCGCAATGGCTGCGGCAGCAAGCACACGGTGAGAGGTGGAGAAGTGGTGGGGCACACGGTGAGAGGTGGAGAAGTAGTGGAGCACAAGGTGAGAGGTGGAGAAGTGGTGGAGCACACGGTGAGAGGTGGAGAAGTGGTGGGGCACAAGGTGAGAGGTGGAGAAGTGGTGGAGCACACGGTGAGGTGGAGAAGTGGTGGGGCACGAGGTGAAGTATATTCTCTCCGATTTGATGGCTGAGGACGAGGTAAGAGGTACGGAGCACAATGTTTTATGATTCTAGAACGCGTAGCACAAGGTAAATGAACTGAATCATCAAGCATTTCCTCCTGTTTCTCAACTGAAACTACAGCTCTATCTACACCTGTCCGCCCTACTAACCTTCTTCCCTTTCCCCCTAACCCCACCCCTCCCCTCACCTTCCTCTCCCCCAACCCCATCCCGCCACCTTCCCCTCTCCTTTCCCCGCCCCCACCCCTCCGTGCCTTCCTGCCTTGTTCCCTTTCCCACCTCTTGTTGCAGTTCGACATCCCAGAAGGTACCAGAGTCACGGTGTACGATAGAATCATAAACCTGGCGCATTGGAACGCGTACCAGTTCTACCACGGCATTCTCGAGCTCGTGCCCGTCTTCTTCATGCTCTCCAAGGCGCCGCACCTGCTGCGCGCGCTGCCCATCGCCGTGCAGTACCTGCAGATGGACTTTCTCGAGAAGCTGGGTACCTTTTTCATCGGCATGGAGATGGTGCACATGGACTTACGAGTGGTGCCGGATAATGAGGTGTTCTTCGCCCATCAAGTGCTTCAGGTATGGCCTTGCTTGCTTCAGGACTGCATCTGCTGCGCGCGCTGCCCAGCCCATCGCCGTGCAGTACCTGCAGATGGACTTTCTTGAGAAGCTGGGCACCTTCTTTATCGGCATGGACATAATTCACATGGACCTGAGGGTGGTGCCGGATGATGAGCTGTTCTTCGCCCGTCAGGTGCTGCAGGTACGGCTGTCAGAGTGTAGGGTTCAGGGTTTAGGCAGCACCTCCTGTGATCGCTGCCCATCGCAGTGCAGTACCTGCAGATGGACTTCCTGGAGAAGCTCGGAACCTTATTCATCGGCATGGATATGGTTCAAATGGATTTACGAGTGGTGCCGGACGACGAGGTGTTCTTCGCTCATCAGGTGCTGCAGGTACGCCCCCTTTTCTTGCACTGAGGCATGCTGCATGAGTCTTGTTTTTTATCGGCCTGGATCTGGTGCATATAGACCTGCAAGTTGTGCCAGACGACGAGGTGTTTTTTGCTCACCAAGTGCTGCAGGTACGCCTGTGATGTGGTATCCAATCCACCTAGACAGCCAAAATCCATGGGTTGAAGGTCAAGGTTTCGGAGTCAGGGCTTAGGGTTTAGGTAGTACCTGCTGCGCGCGCTGCCGATTGCCGTGCAGTACCTGCAGTGCAGATGGATTTCATGGAGAAGCTGGGGACGTTTTTTGTTGGGATGGATATGGCTCACATGGACCTGTGGGTGGTTCCGGATGATGAGGTGTTTAAGGTGCAGGGTTCTGGGCTGAGGGTTTAGGCTGCACCTGCTGCGCTTGCTGCCCCATGGCTGTGCAGTGCCCGCAAATTGACATCCTGGATTGCCTGTGCCGATTAACGCACAATGCCAAGGCTGGAGACGTTCTTTATCGGCCTGAGTATGGCCCAGTCAAGTGCTCAGACTCCTTTTGAGACTCTTCATAAACACGCACAATGCCCAAGGCTGGAAACGTTCTGAATTGACCTGGCTGGGTTGATTTTTTAGGCGCCTCAATAATCAAGGCTGGAGACGTTCTTTATCGGCCTGGGTATGACCCAGTCCAGTGCTCAGACTCCCCCACTTACGCCCTTCGACCCTGCTCACCTCGCACTTTCCCCCTCTCCACCCCACTCACTCCACGCTTCCGCGGTTCCCCCCTGCGCTTGTCCCTGCCAGCCCTACTACCAGTGGTGCGGGCGGCCCAGTCGCTCCCTCTGGCGTCACTTCCGTCGGCTGTATCTGCTGCCACCCGATGGCCTCCCCATGTTCCTCCCTGATTGGACGCCGCGCATCAACAAGGCCATGCAATCATACTCCATTGGCTTCCCAGGTGAGCTGATTTGGGCTGACCAGCGTTGACTAGCGTTGACCAGCGTTGACCTCCATGTGCCTCCTCGAATGGACCCCGCACATCAACAGCGCCATGCAGTCAGGCCTTCCCAGGTGTGCTTGATCCGGTGCTCTCAGAAATCAGTGCTCTTTGGTGCGTTCCCAGTCACTGCTCCCACTGGCTGGTGGTGGTGGTGGTGGTGGTGCTGCTCATGCGATGATACAGCACCCGGGCGCTGGAGCAGCATGGGGAGGTGGAGGAGCTGCTGCTGTGTGTGTGTGTGTGTGTGTGTGTGTGTGTGTGTGTGTGTGTGTGTGTGTGTGTGAGTGTGTGACTTGTGTGTCCTGTGCCCGCATATCTCCTCTCATTCCTGTGATGTCGCTTCTCTACAATGTCTCTTCCCAGGAGCGCCTGCGGACTGGGTGGTGGTGCTGTGCTGGCACAGCGATACAACACGCAGGCACTGGAGCAGCATGGGGAGGTGGAGGAGCTGCTGTGTGTGTCCCCTGTGCCCTCATATCGCTTCTCATTCCTGTATTGTCGGTTCTCCATTGTGTGTTCCCAGGTGCGCCTGCTGACTGGGTGGTGGTGCTGGCACAGCGATACAACACCCGCGCACTGGAGCAGCATGGGGAGGTGGAGGAGCTGCTGTGCACTCTCTTCCCTCGAGAGCGGGTGGTGGTGTTTGATGGCAGCCTGCGCATTGCTGATGGTGAGAGGGGGAAAGGAAGGGAATCTTGCTCCCCTGTGATTATGATGTGAGATGATGGCCCTGCAGCAAAACGAGCAGGTGGAGGAGTTGCTGTGCTCTCTGTTCCCTTGGGAGCGAGTGGTGGTGTTTGACGGCAGTCTGTGCATTGCTGATGGTGAGCAGGAGAAGCGTGGGCCAGATCGGGTCGGGGGGATAAGAGGGGGAAGCAGCACTCCCAGTGCTGTTTGTCGCCATGCTCGGAGCAGCGCTCATCAACGCCATCTTCATGCCACACCCCCCCACCCAATCATCCCCAATCTTGGCCGATCTTCCCAAATCTCCCTTACCCTTCAGCCAAGGCTCTGTTCAGTCAAGCTGTTCTCTTCGTGGCAGCACACGGGGCAGCGATCACCAACGCCATCTTCATGCCGTTCAAGTCAACCCCCTCCTATCTCCCCCACCCGCCTTTCTTCTTACCCTGCAGCCAAGGCTCTGTTCAATCGAGCCGTGCTGTTTGTGGCAGCACACGGGGCGGCGATCACCAACGCCATCTTCATGCCGTTCAAGTCGGTCCTGCTTGAACTGCGCCCCAGGGACTTCCACAAGGCGTGCTACCACCACCTGGCCGAGGTGTGCGACCTGCAATACTTGCTACTGCTGTGTGAGGGAGCCAAGGACACGCCTCTTTCGTGTGATATGGGTGAAGTGAGGAGGGTATTAGAGGAGGTGCAAGGGCGTGTGGATAAAGTGCTGGAAGAAGGGCCGGAGGTGCAGCTGGAGGAGGAGGAGGAGGAGGAAGGGCAGCGTTGACTGGCGTTGACTTGGCAGCTGGGGCGTGCTACCACCACCTGGCGGAAGTGTGCGATCTGCAATACTTGCTCCTCTTGTGCAATGGAGCTAATGACACGCCTCTGTCATGTGACATGAATGAAGTCAAGACTCTGCCGGAGGAGGTGCGAGGGCGCGTGGATAAAGTCCTGGAAGAAGGGCCGGAGGTGCAGCCGGAAGAGGAGGGGAAGGGCAGCGCTGACCAGTGTTGACCAGCGTTGATCAGTGTTGACCGGTGTTGACTTCGCGGGAGGGAGTGCTGACTGCAGAGCTAGAGCTGTCATGTGGTGGTAAGCTGCCATGTGCTTTTAGATGTTTGTACAGCCCCGCTGTATGATTTCGTTAACTTTCTGCTAAGTCTGCAACTTCAGTGACTCCGACGTCGTCTTGCTTGTGAGCCACCTCACGCCCCGTGTTTCCAGAGTTCTATAATGTTCATGATCGCATCTCATATCTTTGCTTGTTGATGCCTTTCTCTCAGGGCCGTGGGATGGGGTCTTCGTCAACTGATTTTTACCAAGTAGATCAGCAGCTGCAGCACCCGCACCTCTCTGAAGTTGAAAACCCGAGTCTCATAATTTCTACTGTATTACACTTGGTTGGGAGTTTGCACCTGGGATTGGTGCATGCACGAGCAGCGAAATTTTGCACGAGAGGAGGGGTGATCGGGCGAAACCAGAACACTGTACCCTCAACACCAAACCAACCGCCCTAACCTGTTGACACAGCCAAACCTTCGCACACAGGTTCGTCATGTTTGACACTCCCTGCGACAAACCCAGACGACGGAAACAGAACACACATTTTCGCGCATTGTGATTCCCCTCCACCACATCCTCCTCCACACTAGCCCCTTCAAGGTTTATAGTACCACACTGTCATTACTGCTCATGCGCACGTAAAAAGCTCCGTTCAGAAATAACTGTAGAAACCACCAATGTCGGGTCAAGCGGATAATGGGCACGTCGCAAGTGGAATGGCGGAATCCTCCGATGCCGTTGCGGATCGAGGCGCCGTGGAAACCGCGCGTGAGTAGAACACCAGCCTCCCCCACTGCTTCCCGCGCATTTGCCTCTACAGTCTCGCACCCCCACCCCCCTGGTAGCCATCGTCGTTCTCACCCGGTCTCACTCTCCTAATCCCCACCCTCGCCCTCCGCGCTTCCCCAGTCGCAACTCCCATTTCTCCACGCAATCACTCCCCTTCCCCGTCGCTTTCTCTCCCCTTCCCCCTCGCTGGCGTGCCCGTTTCCTGCCACGCGTTCATTCCCCCTCCCCCTCGTGAGCACTCCCCTTCCCCATCGCACGCGGTCCCCTCCCCCGTCTCTATCTCTCCACTTTCCCCACGATATCACTCCCCTTCCCTGTCGCGTTCACTCCAGGGCCTCAGATTGGTTTTGGGCTGTTCGGAACAAATAGCCTTAAGCGCTTATGTCGTGTCGAAACTTCAAGACACAAGCGAAGCAGCGCAAATCGAAGCACCAGCGAGTCAACCCTCGGAGTTGATGTAACCGCTGGAGGTTACGAGAAAGTCAAAGGTCAGCGACCTTTGACTTGACAAATGCAGCGCGACAGCAAGGACACACAACTGACTCGACATTGAGCAGTTGCCCGAGTCGCACTGTATCGAACCGCAACAGTAAAGTAGTTACAATTATGTCTCTTCATATTCTCTGTACTCATATATATATTCTTATATCTCTTTGTTTTAATCAACTTACTTTGCCCTCACATACTAGCGCAAGGTGGTTCAAGGACTTTATTAAAACGCTTCCGCTACTACATCATTTACTCAGACTTTAACTCTACTAAAGATCCTAGGGCGTTCAGCCCAACATGGTATGATAGCAGGTTAGAGTTAATATTTTCTCTTCAACACTTAATACATCAAGAAGACATGTCTACTAGAAAGGGGAGGAGCTCCTCCAACGGCTCTCCCGGTACTACCCCTACTCCACCTCCTGCCTCTGGCCTACTGACAGAGGAAGGGACAACAACAAGACCAGCAGCTGGGTCTACGGAAACATCCGCAAACCAAGGCGCGGGCTTCGATCCAAGTATGATGGAGAAATTCTTCTCCTTCATGTCCTTCTACGAGCAGCATCAGCAAGGAGTACCTGCGCAATCAAACAACAGCAACAACAACAACAACGTGACGCCCATGAGTCTCGATGGCTCATCCTACGCACGCGGGAATCAACATCAACAACCTACCTTCGCTCCGTACGAGCCCCAGCGCGGCTCCGTCAGCTTCATGCCGCAATCACAACCTGCACCGGGACAAGAAAGAGCACTGGACGCACTACAAGTTCAGTCGCAATTCGCGCATGTTCTAAAACTACAAACGACAAAACCTTTCGACGGGAAGGATTTCTTTACCTGGTCGTTCGAATTCGAGCTGATGATGGAAGGAGCGCAGATCCTTGGCTTCTTTGACGGGTCCCTGCCATATCCAACAAACGGCACACAGTATGAGAAGCAGCAGTACACCTATCAATCGATGATGGCGTACACAATACTACTGAGGAACATCACCCCGACTCAACAGCAGAACATAAGGACTTACCGAGGTTACGGTAACTCCGCGGAGCTCGCGTACAACCACTTGAAGAACCTGTATCAAGCAACAGACAGCGTAAATCAAAGTCGGTTAATGGCGCAGCTGACAACAATCGAAATGAAACCAGGCGAGAAGGGAATGGCATATATCAGTCGCTGCCGCGAGCTGCACGACAAGCTTCTTCGATGTGGAGGATCGATTTCAGAAGACGCCTTCGTCACGGTTGTCATCGGCGGTCTTGGCCCTCACTGGCGCTCCACTCGCGCCATACTACGAGCACACGGGAGAATCTCTGAAGCAGCACTCTGCGCCGAAATCCATGCCGAGCAGCAGGACATGGACCTGCAAGAAGAACGACATAAGAAGAAAACGTCATTACCAGAGTTCGCGTTTCACACCCAGCGACGCTACAACAACAACAATCGGCAGCAACAACAATTGAAGCCAGTACCTCCGTTTTGCCACATCTGCAAGACTTCAGGGCATCCTTGCTAGTGGTGCTAGCCTCCGTGCAGTGCGTCACGCGCTGACTAGCAGGGGTGAACTGGTGGACTCCCCCATCCTGTAGGTCAGCACCACTCACCAAGTTCGTAGAGAACGAGGGGAGGTAGAGACCCGACAGGGTGCCAGAGGGAGCCGCCGGACACGGGAGGACCGTGGAGAAGCGAGCCAGGACAGGACCCCCAGAGGGGTCAGCCAGGGAAACCGCAACCGGCCGACTAAGCGGCGTAAGTGTGGTGCGGTCCCAAAAGAAAGAGCGAGACGCTCCAGAGTCAAGAGTGAAGGTGTGGGAGGCCGAAGCCGACGCAGTACCTGAGAGCGCAGACGCACTAGTACCTGAAAGAGCAGTCTCACGAGTACCTGAGAGTACAGACGCACTGGCACCTAGAGCAGAAGCCTCACCGGCACCTGGAGCAGCAGTACCAATGCCCGGGTCGGGCGGGAAACACCGGTAACAGTCACCCTCCTCACTAGTGGTCATAGCATACATGGCAGCAAGGATAGCATCAAAATCAAGATCAAAGATAGCTACACCAGCCCTAGACAGCTCTCCCCAGCGGGGGATCTCCGCGGCCTCCGGGAACTGCTGACGCCAAGCGTCTGTCAGGCGGCCAAAGCAGCGCTGAGCGGGGTGGGCACCCCCACACTGCTCTCCAGTGCGGTCGCCAGTGCGGAGAACGTAGGTGCAGGGACCAAAACCCCCACCGCGCTGACCCTGCGTGTACCACTCACGGAGCTGCTGGGGGGTGAGGACGTCGCGAGAACGTTGCTGCTGCTGCTGCTGTTGGCGCTGACCGCCACCAGTGCCGCTCCGCTGCGAAGCCCCACTCCGACCACCTCCACCTCCGCCACCCCCGCCTCCGCCTCCACCGCCCCCGCCCCCACCTCCACCGCCGCCACCTCCGCCACCTCCGCTACCACCGCCACCGCCGCCGCCACTCCCGCCGCCACCGCTGCCACTAGCACCCCCACCCCCACTACCACCTCCACCGCCACCCCCACTCCCTCCGCCGCCTCCACCCCCACCGCCACCGCCCCCACTGGCCCCACCCGCTCCCTTGCCCCCCTTGCCCTTGCCAGAGCGGCGTCTCCCGCTAGGGGCAGACGCCGCACCGACCGACTCAAGACCAACGAGGTCGGCCGCAGCGGCAGAGGCAACAGAGGGCAGGAGAGGGGAAGGAGAACACCCCTCAAAGATGGGGGCGCGGGGGTCACCTCGAGAGGCTCCTACAGCAACTATGCTCTTCTCTGCTGCAAGAAGGGCCTTCTCGAGGCTGTCGACGGTGAGGGTGGTGGGACAGACCGCAAGGAAGTGGTCCCGGACTACACGAAGGGAGTCAGGGAGGCGAGTGACTAGGAAGTAGAGAGTGATGTACATGGGGGGGGGGGTTCTTGGCGCAGAAGTCAGCAGGAAGTGCAGCGCGATAGCGAGTGTCACTAGTGCGGAGGTGCGTGATGAGATCAGCGACAGTGGGAAAGGCGGCATGGTCAGGGAAGAGGAAGGGGAGCATGAGGCGGCTCAGTGCAGCAGTGGCAGGGGAGGAGTAGCGTGCAACTACAGCGTCGTACAAGGTCTGAGGACTCTTGTACAGGCTAAAGTGCGCGCGCTCAGCGGTAGGCAGGTGGCGACGCACAGCAAGACGTGCAGCAGCATCGCGCGTGGCCCACTGAGATCGAACAGTGGCGTCAGCATCAGCAGCAGAGGCAGGGACACCGCCAGATGTGAGGTCAAAGAGAGACAGACTGTCGGCCCTGTCGCACTGTAAAAACAGCTGCAGGTCGTCGAGCTAGACCTCAAAGTCAATGGCTCGACCCTCAGCGTCAAAAGTGAGGACAGTGGGTGTAGCCATGACGACGACAGTGGCGCAGTGCAAGCAGTAGGGGAAGGGTACGCAGTGACAGCAGTGCAGTGCTCACCGGGC